TTGAGTCTACATTATCTGCGTTTTCTATTGATTCGCGTAGCGTTGCTTGCATTTCTGTAGTGCTTAAAATGTTTTGTAATTTATCGATATTTCCAGTATGCCACTTTAAGCTAGAAATTGTCGAAAATTCCCTATTTTCTTCTCTTTCTTTGTTTCCACTGTTTTTGGGGTAAAGTTGGATTTCTATTCTATTCTATTTCTATTCTAGTCCATACAATTACCACAGGGAGCCCAACTTTGAATACCCTGTTATTAGAATTTTTTTTTTTTTTTCTTTTCTGAATTTAGTCAAACATGTTTAAGAATAATACGTAATGGAAGCACTGGAGAAGTGGCATTATTCCCATTCCTTGCCTGTTGCTTAAGGTTAGTAAATTTGGTTGGATTCACGCCAATGTTTTGAACTCCCACAGACGTTTAATGGTAGATCTGTTAATAGGTGACTTATAGTGCACCTATAAGTGGCTTTGTGGGGTCGACCCCCGACTGACCAGGGAGATTGTAAAAATTCCTAAACAATGTTGATCATTTTCAACAGGGGTAGGGAAGTTGTTCTTTTCAATGTCCCCTGGCCGAGGCATTCAGTAAATCTACAATCTCCCTCATTTTGAATTGGTTGAAATTATTATTGTAGTTTGAAAATCTGAACTCAACACATAACCATGTGGTTTGCTCGATATTTCAAGTACTTTTTCATTGAAAAGATTGGGGGGAAAACTCTCATGAATTGAAGAAATCACATCATTAAAGTAAAAAAAATCAAGTTACCTTCGAATTCGTATGTGTGAAACAACAAAGAATGTCAAAAAACATACTTCACAGTCTCTGCTTTACAGTGGAATTCTCACCTCGTTGTTAGCCATCTTGACAAGAGGCATCTGGGTATTGGCAAACATTAGGTTACCCAGCCCAACCAAAAACGTCTCAAAATTTTTAAAATCAGGAGCTATTTCTTTAACTAGAGAGGAAAATCAATCCCCCTGGTAACCTCTGCAATGAAAATAATTCCATTACAATCCCCCACCTCAGTTTTTAACCACAAAACCAATGTCGCAAATTTTTCCAACCCCAGGGGGAGTAACTGGATCCTCCTATATTCTCCCAACCATCTCCCTGGTCAGCCCAGGGGTCGACCCAAGGGGAAGCCGCTGATAGGTGCATAAATGAGGCTTGTGCAAATGAATCTGTGGTATGCATCAAACACAAAACTCGGTTTTATTATGTGGTTATTCCTTGAACCAAGAGGGTCATGCAGGCACAAGAAAATATAGTCTTCTCCCAGCCCCCTCCCTTTGCATGAATAATGACTAGTCACTAATACGGGGGTTTGATGTTATATTTTTGGTTTGTTTTAAACAGTTCTGTCCTATGGACAAAATATGGTCTATTACAAGAAGATTTCCCAATCACATTAATTAGTTGTGCAGGAATGATTTCACAGAGTATTTATATTTTAATTTATTATACCAATGTCAACGCAAGAGATAAGGTAATGATATCAGCAGATATTTTAGTCATAAAAGACCATGCAGTCATTTAATATCTTCTCTCTTGTCTCTTTGTCTATCCAATCATTTTTCTTTTCTTCTGCTCTTTGTTTCTCTTATTTCCTTTCTCTACCTTGATTGCTACCTTAACCCTGCAGTTTCCCTAACTTCCCCTAATTTTTATCTTTTCCCTTTTTTTATTCAGGGAAGGCGGAGCAGGTTTTTGATTGGGGGGGGGGGGGGGCTCAATAGTGACATTGTATGGCAAGGTGGGGGGGCTAAGTTTAGTGAAAATGTATTAAAATTTCACAAAAAGTGGGGGAGCTAAAAACCCCCCCAGCCCCCCCAGTTCCGCCGTCCCTGTCATTACTTTATTTTATTCTACTTTCCTTGCCATGGTTTCCTCTTTTCAAACTTTGATTTTCCTTGCAGTCTATTCGATTTTCATTTCTTTTTTTTCTTTTGACGTGTAGCATTAATCATTTAATTAAGTGATAATCAAAAGTTAAGAATTCAATGGAATACTTGATTCGTTAATTCATTGATCATGCTCGTTCTTGGTATTGCAGGGCATCTGAGCTCGGAATACAATAAAACAATAGCCAAGAACAACAAGTTTGAAGCTCAACAATACCCTGCAATACAAAAAACGGCATCAAAGAATACATACATATTGAAACTATTAAAAAGGAAGACCCAATATTGTTATGTCATTAGAATAACTTTTGTTTTTTAATTTTAACTACAGAAAAATATCAGTGTCAAGCTACTGTTGGCCTTCTTGACAGTGACGTCAATTTTAAGTTACATAAAATATTATGTTGAAGATGTGGAAACAGCTTCAATGCATCTTGGATTTGTATGCAGTGGATTCTCTGTTGCAGTATATGGTTCTCCTCTTGTATCTCTGGTATGATTCGTTCGTATATCCATGCATTTGTCCGTCCGTCCGTCCGTCCGTCCGTCCGTCCATCCATCCATCTACCCATCCAGCCATTAATTCACCCAGCTATTTATACATCAATCTATTCTTCCATCAATCCTTTCATCCATCTTTCCATCCATTCATTCACTCCATACATCTACCCATCCATCCATCCATCCGTCTATTCATGCATCAATACATTCATTCATTTTATCCACCCATTCATTTCAATTTTTCTCTAACCTAAACATTTGCTTATCAAGTCCTCCTCATTTTTCAGGCAACAGTTATTCGAAAGAAGAGCACAGAATGCTTAACATTTTCTCTTTGTATTGCAAACTTTATTGTGTCCCTGCAATGGCTAATGTACGGACAGATTGTACAAGATAACTTTATTAAAGTAAGTAGATTTGAGTACAGTCAATTGGAACGTCGATGATACGGTGGCCATCTTGGATCGCAAGACGTTATGGGGCGTCCTGACAATATGGCCGCCGTATCTTCGAAGCAGTCCATTCAGCGTTGTCATCGACCGACTCAAGCCTACAAAGTGGAAGTTGTTAATAGACTTTTTTTTAGCTTGGGCGTAATGTTTTCCCGTTTCAGACCACGTGTCTCTCTCTTGAAAATAAGATTCTTTGTTTGAGTTGTATCCATATTCATGTGAAATGATACTCTTGGGAATGAGAGGTGGTCTGAAATGGACAACATTACTCCACGACGAATAAGGTCAAATTGGCATCGGTGCAATCCACTTCATGAGGGAGTCATTTCCTGATTTTTTACCTAAATCTCTTCGGAGGGAAAAAACTTACTCATTATATTTTAACTCTTTCAGATACCAAATGGAGTGGGAGTACTACTGAGCACAATCCAAGTATCACTTTTTATCTGCTATCCATCAAAACCTCAAAAAACTATCACATATACTCCTGGCACCAAGCCCTCCAAACTAGAAATATAAATAAAACGATCAAGATTGGACTCGAGATCACTAATCAGACAAAATGCTAAGAGACGACGTCAGAAATAACTGATTGTGGCTCTCGCTTTAACAAAAAAACGCGGTTTTCTCGTTTCCTTAGGGTTGATCAATATATCAGGTGAAAAAGAAAGAGTCAAAAAAGAGTGAAGTTATTTTGCACTTATAAAATGTGAAGAAAAAAACAGTTAACGGCTGCTCAGCTCGATTAGTTTGCTATACTGAGCAGCTATTACCTGAATCTTGGCTATAAACATTAATGTTGTAAAGCATAATTTGATATACACCTACTTGCAAGAACGTTGTCATACGATATTAGAACAGTAATTTAGTGAAAAAGGAATACATTAAAAGACAAAAGAAAATGTTCAGCTTCAGTGATCTTCTTTTGTTTCTTAATGTAATTCCTATCCCACTAAATCACTAATGTTCTGTATTCGTATGTCAACGTTCTTGCAAGCAGGTGTATACACATATATATGTTATTATTATTGGTAATAAAGATACTTGTTGTTGTTGTTGTTGTTTAAAACTACTAAGGAACGATACGAGCATGGCTTTGATGGTCGGTACGCTATCTTTTATGCCATAGGTCCATAGTTTGAATCCTATCTTATTTTTGGTACTCAACCTCGAGAACAGTTTATTTCGTCTAAGGCCTCGTCTACACGTATCCGGAAATTTTTGTATCCGCAAATTATTTTTTGCGGATACGAATATGTTTGCGTCCACACGCAGCGTATTCGAATCGTTTTCGAATCGTTTTCACTGTCCACACGTATCCGGAAATTTCTTGATCCGCCCTGATGCACGCTAATGCCTAGTCCCTTTGACAGATAGTTTTCCTTATTGAGCATGCGCAAAATCGTGTTTACGTCAGCGTATTCAAAAATTTGCGGATACGACCGTCCACACGTAAATCCGTATTCGGAGCGTATTCGAACATTTCCACTCTGGAGACCGTTTTCGAAAATTTCCGGATACGGATACAAAAATTTCCGGACACGTGTGGACGCAACCCGTATCCGCAAAAAATGATTTGCGGATACAAAAAATTCCGGATACATGTGGATGGGGCCTAAACATTTTTAAAGATCAAATATCTCACAGCACGCATTTAGTATTATTGAGTTAGAAACGTACTGTACTAGACATAATGTGACGTCGATTTGTATCCTTTTGTACCTTCCATTTGGCTTTATGTACTATAGTTATTTTGTGTGTGTGGGAAATAATAATAATAATAATAATGAAATTTGCATTGTCACTCCAGCACTAACAGTCATTAAGATAATAATGAATTATTGAGCACCGTATTGATGGTTTTCAACCATTCCCAAGAGAATTAAATAACAAAAGACACGGCGGCCATGTCGGAGGATATAACAAAATAATTCATTGACAATTCTTTTGTTAAGTTCCTCCTACATGGCCGCCGTGAAGACCATCAATAGGAACATCAACCTTTAAATCTCGTGCGATTCTCTGAAAAACTCTGTGCTGAACCAAAACAGGGCACGGTTGTAACTCACAGATTGAATCATAATTAGCGTGCTAAGTTTTGCGGTGGAAGGAAAACCAGAGAACCCAGAGAAGAATCCTTCGAACAAGGGGGAGAAGGATCAAACACACTCAGTCTACTCTATCAAATATGATGCCGAGTCTTGGAATGGACCTCCTCGGCTCGGACGTGATGTTGTCCCATTTCAGACCACGTATCATTCCCTAGAGTATCATTTCTTTGTTTAACGGCTGCATAGGAGAAGACACATGAATATGGATACAACCCAAACAAAGAATCTCATTCTCAAGGAAATGACACGTGGTCTGAAATGGGACAACATTACGTCCAAGCCGAGGAGATCTATTAAACCCGAAACACACTCAATGTACTCAAATATGATGCCGGCCGAGTCTTGTAATTAAACCCTAAACCCCAGAGACGAGAGGCAAGGGCAGTACCACTATACCACCCTTGCATGACTCCCAGTCGGAATGAAGGATAGCGGGACACGAAAATGTTTTCATTGGCCGATAATATCACGTGACTACTAAAAATTAATCATGGTGCAATTTTATTGTATGGCTGCGCGCAACAGTATCACCCGGCGTTAATACAGTTAAAACCATATACTTTTACCGGAACCTATTTAAAACTCAGATATAGTGGCCACAGTACTTTGTCCTAATCGATTGTGTACTATATAAGATGAACAGAATTATGTCTACAAGGCAACGCATTTCTGTCTCCTAAATACTGTAAAGACTAATATATGGGATGATATTAGACCAAGCAAGGGACATTCAGTCTGGGTATCTTATAGTCTTATATAGCTTTTGGAGGAATTTTTCACTTATATCAAAACATATGACGATAATCAGTAAGTACGTGCCGAGAAGACGTCAATATTGAATGATTTAAAACCTAGATCAAAGATCGTACGTATTTCTGTTATGCGAATTGCTTTTCTCCTAAAAGTTATAATCGTTAATTTCACACTAGAACTGAATAGATGATTTATGAGAATTTTTGTAAGATAGCAACTCCGTTTGATAGTATTTGTCGTTTCTGCGGGTAGATTTAATAATATCATCATCGTTCAGGTTGATCATCGCGCGTCTGACCATTATTATTATCGTATGCACATGGCGGCTTGTGTAAAAGGTAATAAGATAAGTGTTGTAATGGGAGGAGAATAGATTTGTCGAAAAGATTTGGAACATAAATAATGAGCTCACACTAGGTGCGTATTCTGCATGAAAGACAAAAATAAATCCAATCTTCTCGTAAACTCAGTTAAAATTAAAGTTGGTTTACACAAAATTGGAAAAGGAAAAGAAATCAGTCATTCAAATGAGGCAGGACAAAGAGAGGTTTACGAGGTCACGTTCTGAAGATGCCGTAGCCATATTGTACATGCAGTTGTGGAGGTTCAGTAATGAATCTTTCAAGAAAAGGTCATCAGTTTTAATCGCAATATCACTGAACGACAGACACCACAACAGCAGAACGGATTAACATTTGGAGGTGATGTGAATGATCGATTGCAAAGAGCTAGTATTCATCATTGGTCTGTCAGTTGTAACTCTTCATCCAGTTGACATTTCTTGTTTGAAAGTATATCATTCACTTCTGTTGACGGTCAAAGGAAGACACGTATTGATCTCTTTTTTCTGAAAAAGCCCCAGCTCTACACACTGTAGATTGATTATCTAGTGACTATGGATATTCTAAACTCTGAGTTACACAGAAAAATCGTTCTGATAAAGCTCCACAAAACGTCAACCAAAGGCGCAGCAGAAACAACGCAAAGTGACTTTGCATCTGGCTGTGAAATTTGGGCCGAAGAGGGGAAAACGCCAAGGGAAATCCATCTTGGCGAGGATGTAGCCTTTATGATTCGTACACCAACAGCTGATTTACTTTATCTAAGCATCTCTGTGCTGGATTCTTCACAGAATGAGATGGAAGTTTCATTCCGCTGCAAGCAGGAAAATGTACATGAAATATCATTCTGTCCACAGTCTACTGGAGAATACAGGATGATAGCGAAATGGGATGGGAAGTGGATTAAGGGAAGTCCATTCCAAATAGCTGTCGCAGAAAAACTCGAGATCATGCAATAAGAAGCACTGTCAAAATGGTCGAGGGCTGATTCTCATTATGTACTGACTGCGGGATATATCACAGTAGTGTATAAAGCAGTTGGATTTCTTTTCACGGGAATAGCCGGTTATGATTATGTTAAGCTCAAGGTTAAACCATGATAACATAAAAATACCTTATATACTTTGATGTGCATATTTTAAAGTGCCCATGACACCTGGGTGTGATGTCATATGTATGAGGCACCATTATAAAACTTTTCTGGGGCAGTAAAACATCCTGTATAAAACATCATCGTCTAGTCTCAGGTTTACTAAGGGTTCATTCTCTACTTTCACATCCCCATAATGCTTTGCGTCTTTTGGGGGTAACCAATCAAAAAACTGTCCCAAATTGAAAGGTTTCTTGATTGAATTTATAGTATACCTGCTTTTATCCGTACAATACTGATTATCAGTTTATCCAAGTTATTTTTGCGTGTACAGATTATCAAGAGTTTTGGTCTTACAGAAAATGTATTGACTTACGAAAAAATGTTTAAAATATACCTGAAACGTCTTCAAGCTTCTATCTTTTTCTGTTTTTTACTCCTTCATTTTATTTTTGGATACCAAACAAGGTATTTTCAACATTGCCTGATCAGGCTTCAGCAAAATAAGTGGGTGTTTACCCTCTGGTTACCCCCCAAAGACGCAAAGTATTATGGGGATGTGAAAGTAGAGAATAGAAAAGTCACATTGCAAATTTGTTTTCTCATGTAGAAATCAGTGATTCAATTTAATAATTATGACAAATAAACTCAAATGCCTTCTATGATTTCACACTCTTTGACATATTGGATTTAAACCATGCTCACTCAAATCATGTAAAAATATTTTACCATTCAACTATTTTCTTCGTGTATAATCAATGCTGAAAATATTGATTTAGGTGTCATAGACACTTCAAAATATTCAGTAATGTTTACTAAGTGAGTTTTCTCGTGTTTTCTCACTAGTTAAAGAAGAAATTAAAATTCCCATCCTATATTGATGCATAATTTTTGATAAAGCGAAAGAAATACTCATTCTTTAGACAACACGCGCGTCAAACCCGCGCAAAGCGGCAGGGTAACTTTTAAAAAAGGTAATGATAAAAAGGTAAATTATACACCGTCAAAAGATGAAAAAACTTACTGACGTTTCGGACGCTAGTCCTTCGTCGGAGTAAAAGAGAAAGAGGTGGTAGAAAGGCCAGTGTATATATGATAGAATAAGACAAAAGAAACCAATGAGAGCAAGGTAGGCAAGGAAACAAAAACAAACACTCAAAAGACAAAAGAAAGGGTTAGTTGAAACTGAAGCAAAGCGTTCATTAATCCCGTTGGGACTAAGAGTGCCCAATAGGTGAATAAGCCGCATTTTACTCCGACGAAGGACTAGCGTCCGAAACGTCAGTAAGTTTTTTCATCTTTTCACGGTGTATAATTTACCTTTTTATCATTACTGTTTCATTAGAAACACCGACGCAGCTCACACTAGTTTTTAGCTAGTTATATTTTCTTTTAAAAAAGGTATCAAAATGAATGTCTAATAGTTATAAAAATCAGTTGCTTTATTTATCGAATCTCATCATCTCAATGTTGTATATGTTTAGTAACGAAATGGCAGAAACATATATTCCAATATACATCTTTTTATCTTATTGCTTTAGAAGGTTTTAGCTTCGATTGTTAGTTTTTCTCATCAAGATTTTTGGGCTTCCATTGTGAAAGGCCAGTTTCTATGCYAGATTCAAGACAAAAAAAGGCAACCTCGTCCCCGACTGTCATCGTACCCATGGTAATCTCAGCCGATTCCAAATCATGGCGGTCATGTTGAATTGGACTCGGCCGAGAAGACCCTAGGTACGAGGTGGAGATTTTGTTCATATTTTCAACATTTCAAATGTCTTTTTGAAGCTTTTTGAAAATTTAAAAATGGGAGGGGGGAGGTCACCAAAAATATATTTTTTCACTTCCAAATGAGGATATGGAGTTGATGGCCACACAAACGACCATTTTATTTGGAAGAAAATTTGATTTCGGTGAGACAAATATCCTGCACTATTATACATCGTAGACACTATATGAATTCCCAATGGTCGAGAACCTTCAGCTAGATAATTCTCACGATAGCTATCAGCATGCGCCAGCGATTTTTCAGCGGTCGATAGTTAAACGAGCCTGCATAGCATAGCGAATGATGGTGATCTGTGGGTCGCTTTTTAGGTATTATTTTAAAACTCTTTAAAATATAAAGTTTAGAGTTCAGGGCCCGGTTGTACGAAGCCTGGATAGGATAGCGCTATCCGACGGATAAATCTTATCCAGTGAATAAATTTATTGTATAACAGCATCGACTTATCCACTGGATAAGGATTTATCCGCCGGATAGCACTATCCACCAGGATTCGTACAACCGGGCCCTGTTGGCTTTTCACGGGAAAACAAAACACGAAAATGAAACCGGCATCACGTATCCATGTTATCAGCTAAAGGTAGCAGATCTTCAGCGTCGTTTGTTCGTTTCTGCTTATATCCACAATAATACATTGATAGGACCCTGTTGTACATCATCAACATGAATCCAACCATTGCCCCCAAACAAGGCCACAGTATTAAATTCAACACCTGTGTTTTTAACAACTGCTTGCTCGTTAATAAGATATAACCAGGTTGATTTGCTTTGTAATAGCAAGAAAAGGAGGTCCCAGGCCTTCCATATTTGTCTTTTAATTCTTTTAGCCTTTTGTAGACAGCATTTTCAGTCGAGCAGTCATAGTATGGTATTCTTTGAGAACAGTTTTCTCCAACATGTCTTCTGCATTTAACTACCAAGCCTTGGCGTAGCTCTCCCAAAGAATCCACGAAGGACGCAAAGATTTGTAAACACGGATAATAAATGACACATTTAGTAACATCTCTCTTGTCCGGTACAGGGCATTTGCAGCTTAGTCTATTGTAAGAGTCTGTTAATACCAGAAACTTAGTGACGTTACACATAGAATATACATATCCATTGTTTTCGAGCGATGGCAGTACTAAAGAAACGAAGAGAAGAAATCCAATAAAGACGCTTCCAGCCCAAAGAATCGTTCCACAAAGCTTTACACGGCTGGCAATCAAACTTGTTTTATCTTTTCTGAAGGTGGTTATCATCTGAAATGGGTGAAGCATCACAAGAATTTATTTTAGTGTTAAATTGCTTTGTTTTCAAATTGCTTTCCCCGTTACGTCTGCCTGACATTTTATTGATAAATTACTCACGAGCGCAAGAGGATACTTTACCATTCACTAAGGATTGAGAAATAACCTTTTAAGTCTGATAAAAAATGAAAATATACCGGATACCCGCTATTTCTCAACATTGCATTTGTCTGCAAACAATGTTTATTCCCGGATTTATTGTTCTTTTTAAATGCTATAAAAGTACATTGTTGCTACGTATTATTCTTCAAAAATGTCGAACGTCAGTTTATTAATTTATTACTGGAAGTATTCATCAATCACGAAAAGTTTTAGTTGGGTTTAAAAGGGGAAGGACAGACCGAAACAATCTATGGTGGCTTGTAAGGGCCAACCACATACAAAAAAAACTTGCCTTTTATCGCGCGATAAGTTGATTTATCGCGCGATAAGTTGTTTTATCGCGCGATAATCAGAGACGCTTTATCGCGCGATAAAAGGCTTACAAGCCACCGTAACAATCCGTTCGAATCCTTACAGAACTAGAAGATTCTATTTATTTGAATGCTATTCAGACATTACTGATAAAAGTCGTTTGGTGATCATACTATTCTTCCCAGTAGACCGAGGCAGTCGTGTTTTTTTTTTTAATCGCCTTCGTATATTAAATTGACCACGTGATGCCAATGTTGTACCACGTGGACAATTTAACTGCATTCGATCACGTGATGTTAAAAATTTGTCCACGTGATACAAAATTCACGATGCGATAGCCACACACACAAAAAAAGAAAAAAATCATATAAACATCAAAAACACTAAATGAATGAAACTCGTATTATCAAACTGCATGCGCCGACAAAAATTCAAGCTTAATGACCCGAATTGAGAGTTCCGTCTTACAAATTTATAATATACGTAACAGACAATGATTTGCATATTCGCACGTGAACGAATCGAGAATGAAGAATAGTGACTGGAGCGATATTTTGTGTTAAGGAATTAGCTCGTCTAGATTTGTCAATGAATCTAGTAATTATAAGATTAAAAAGGATATTGTATGTGTAATCTCAAGAATCGTAATTTGTGCATTCAAATTCATCGAAATAAATTTCAAAGAAATATTCGAAAATACATCAAATGTAAGTTTGTTGAGATTCATTTGACAAAAGTGGCGATATATGTTCGGCAGTCATTATTTGTATTTAAAAACTTTTTTCAGTGGAATGAGCGAACAAAACACCATCCTCTGGAACCCGGGGTTAACATTCTATCACTCGTTTCTCGCTTCTTAGAAACGAGCGACAAAATTTTACCCCTGGATCTGAAAAAGGCGTTCCTGTAGTAGACTTTTGAAAGCGAAGAGTATTTCCTCAAGATACCATGCTTGCTGCGTAGCCCTGAAGAAGGCCAATGGTACAAATCATCAGTCCAAGTAAAACTCAACGTAAGTACGACGAAACCGTAAAAAAAATTACCCTGACTAATACAGGTTGCTTAGTGATTTTTTTGTAACTGAGCTCCACCAAAGACTTTGTTTTTATTTCGGGTTTGTGGTATGTCCTACAGATTATTAGCTTAACGGAGCTTGCTTTTAGGTTGAAAATATCAACCTTGGAAAGAGCTCGTAATCATGTATTATGCGAAATGTCGATAAAGTTAATCCTATCTGCCTTACTCTTACCTTGCTGCGAAAAGTTGGACGACTGCAATCAAAGAAAGTCAACAACTTTTCCTTCACAAGAGTAGACATATTAAGAAATTCCTTTCGTTTTTTTCTTTCTCCTTGGTTACTGTAAGCCTATATTTTCATAACGTTTGTATTCGATAAAATCTAAACGTTTCCTTTCGACTATGAATACTAGACGAATTATATTTATTATGTACAAGATGTTAAGGTACGCTACCATTGCGGTTTCGTCATGAAAACAAATTAATATTGCATAAATAGACATATTAAGAAAGAAGATATACATTCCATTTCTTTTCGTTCTTTCTCCTTGGTTACTGTACTTCCTATATTTTTAGGCATTTGCATAAAAGCAATAACAAGTAGAAGCTGAATCTTCTCAGAGTCCACTCAATGAATACCACAGGAAACCCAATTTCTTGTTCTGTAAAATTAGTATTCGTAAAAAATGGACTTACCTTGATAACTTGTTGTGTCTTTTGACTTTATTGAAGCCAGTTTGGAGCGTTTTTACCGAGTTATTATTTTTTCTTCCCACCTTGATAACTTGCTGTATCTTTTGACTTTTTTGAAACCAGTTTGGAGCGTTTTTACGGAGTTATTATTCTTTTGTTCGGCCTACTAATGAAAATCCCCGGATCTGTCTGTATGAATGAGAGATGAATTGTAATATTTAGCACAAGCTGTTCAAGTTATGCTACCGCTGCGGTTTCATTCATCATGAAAACAAATTATTAATAATATCGCTCCAACTCCCCGGTTCAGGTAAACAGCTAATTTAAGCTATCTGATTTCACTATCCAACTTCCATTTTCTAAACCGGTATCGCTGCAGTGATCGGTGATGATGTGTGACAAGTTTAAACAGCTTTTTCTTTTGCGATAAAATTTAATTCATTCAAATTTGCATAGTCAATAGTTGTCTTTTTTATCAAAAATAAATAAATGAATGAATGAAAAAGGGGATTAAAATTCAGTTCGTGCATGATTAAAGCAAACATATTCTTCAAAGATTAAAAACATATTCTTGTTCAAAACCTTTAAAAAAAACTTGGGAGGTCACCGAATTCGTTTTTGTGGCTATTCTCACTTAAAAATTAATTAGCACGGAGCGCAGTATAAATGAACTTGCAAAGATTAAAACTCATATTCTTGTTCAAAACCTTAAATAAAAACTTGGGAGGTCACCGAATTCGTTTTTGTGGCTATTCTCACTTAAAAATTAATTAGCACGGAGCGCAGTATAAATGAACTTCATACAGTACCGTAAGTCTAGTGGCGGTGGTGTCCCTCTACAGTCCCCACTACAGTCGCGGATCTCGCCCCATAACTTAATCACTGAGACGTGATAATGAGACTGCCTCCTAATGCAGGCTTAGCCACTATCCCTTGTCATCGCGGAACACTACACAGGAAGCCCAAAAATTCCTAATGTATGATTAACATGAATAAGCAGTCACGCAGAGACCGCTCTTTCTCGGACAATAAATAAACTTCGGAACCAATTATCGCTCAAAAAACAAATCTCATATTACCGTGCAAAAGTAAAGCTGAGTAAGTAGACTTTATTTTCAAACAATTCACCAATACTATTCGTCATATATAGCTTTCCTTTGGTCTTCATAAACAGTGAAATGAAAGGTTTTGTATGATTTTTTCACCCTTTTTCCATCTGCAATAGTAGCATTTTAATTATCGCTCGCCCATTATTCCAAATTTTTTCCTTCTGCAATTCAAATTGTAGTTTGGTCATTAGGTCGATCATTCAACTTTTTCTTTCTTGTTTTTAATTTATTTATATATCTTTTTTTGTTCTGCAAATCCTTGGAATATTATACCAATTCCATGTTGGTTTAGACCAAGAGAATATGAATATTCTCTTGTTTAGACATAGCTTATTTTCCATTCCCTGTGCACCCTACCTGCAAGACCCCTGGCTACAGCCCAGAATTGAATATTTAGTTTTCAGTTCATTAAACCAAGACCATAATTCCAGACATCAAGTGCTGAACCGTCGTATGGCAGCGCGAAGCATTTACAGCTATGGCGGAGATTCGCTATCCGAAGATTTACAGACTGATCAGGAAGCTCGACCGAAGCCTAAGGGAGAGGTTAGTCGGCCCCTAAACCAAAGATGATTAACCCACCAGAGCAAACTCGAAATTTCAATTGTGACGCTGATTCCTTTAAATGCACACTCTTTCCAGAATTGATATCAACTCTCGGCTTTCCTTTCCATGTGGGATGTGCATTATGTAATAAATTCAGATCTGATTAATTTCATCTGACTTTGTCGTGTGCATATATTCACTCAGAAATTACTTACTTACACCGTGAAATAAGCGGATATTCTATATAAATTCGTTTAGAAGTGTTATTCAACTTGTCAGTAGCCCATCATTCACTACAATCAGTAAGATTGCTAGCATGAGCAGGGCATGCACATATAGTATGACAGCGCAGGACCATTGATTGGGCGGCTGCATCTGCGTGACAAAAACCTCTCTATCGACTCTTGGGTTTTACTAGTGAAAAAAGTGTGCAAAACATTTCCCTTATAGAATCTAATTCTTACTGCTTTAAAATATCAAGAAGTTTACCGCCTCGAATGCATTCAAAACTTTTTCTGGAAGTTGGGTTTCCTGTGTTACAAACGTCCAGTCCTTCTCTTTTTTCAAGATGGCGCCTGGATGAATTATGATACCTTTTATTTATTTTTTAATAAAGATTTTCCGGTTTAAGTAAAGTGGAATATTACCATGATAAGAACAAAGAAGAGATAGGGACACGTAGGCAACTAAACGCTAACCAATTCAGTGGTAAAACTCCTACATTTTCCTTCATCTTAAAGCTTATTTGAAGGTGAGTTTCTGAGAGCATATTTAATTTACCGCGGTAACCTTATTATTTTGTAATTGGTTTATTTTTGTTCAAGTTTTACGCTTTGATGATTGTCTCTTTTCTACTTTTCTTACGCTTTAATGATCGTCCCTTTTCTACTTTGCTCACAACATGAATTGAAAAAGGAAGCCATTTTAGCTATTAAAGTTTATCAATTAAGATTTTGAAGGTTTAAAGCGAAAGAAAATTAATGGGAATCCATCTATCCCTCTTTATTTGTTTTTTGAAAATTATCGTTTCCTAGTGGTTAATACAGAAAGAGAAAGGACTATAACACGTCTTCTCTCGTTTTTCTTCAAGGCACACCTAGCTTAAGAGCATGAAGTCCAGCCTTGGCCTGTTGCTTTCCCCATCAGTGGATCATGTTTTGTTCAGCGTGTTAGGCATCAGTGTTTCTCTTTACGCATTGTATATTGAGGTCAGGAAATCAAAGGACAAGAATTACAAGGCAGCTTGTGACCTAAGTGAGAGTATGAGCTGTTCCAGAGTGCTCACATCTAAGTATGTGGTAGATATACGAATAATATAATATAGATATGTGAATGAATAAATGTGTGCACTCATAAGTCATGAATAATAGCAAACACAATGCCAAGGACATCCATGTAAAGGTGGACTCCAGGGTTTGATAGCTAGTACCCCTTACAACCTCTGGGCTAATCTAAGTTAGGGCACTTAATAAACTCACAGATTGAACCCTTAAACAACCTCTCAGCTGATAAAAGTCAGGGCACAGCTAACCCCCAGATGGAACCCTGAAACAACCTCTAGGCTGATCAAAGTCAGTACATATGGTTAACTTACAGATCAAACCCTAAAACAGCCTCTGGGCTGATCTAAGTCAGGGCACGGCTAACTCACAGATCACACCCTATTAACAACCTCTGGGCTGATCAAAGTCAGTACATGGTCAACTCACACATGGAACCCTAAAGCAACCTCTTGGCTGATCTAAGTCAGGGCACAGCTTACTCACAAATTGGAATTTTGCGGAGGGAGGAAAACTGGAGAAAAACACTTGAATCAACAAGTGATAGTAATGAGTCCAGGAATGAAACTGGAGACCCTAGGCTAGGTGAGGCAAGTGTACTATCACCACCCTTTATTCATGTAGGGAACAGTAATCTTTTAAAACTTATTATTATTTAAACATTTTACTTATTGCAGGTATAGCAAAGGCTTTGGGATGGTTGAGTTGCTGCTTGGAAAGGAACATTTTTTGAACTTGCCTAATTGTATACTTGGAATTGTGTTCTACTCGCTTCAACTATTATTAGGTTGGTATAATTTTATACCCTCGTTACCAGAGGCTTTCTTAAATGTAATGGAACCCAAAAAAACCTTCGGGTTGATGAAAGTCAAGGCATTGCTTACTCTCAGATTGAATTAGATTTGAGCTTATAAGGTTTTGCATCCTAAAGATATTACAATTATGATAAAACTACCTTCAAGGAGAATGGTTTTAAATCAAGCTGTTGTCTTACAGCAATTTTTTCACATCTTTTCTTCCCTCTAGGCATGATTCACTCAAGCCTTGCAGTCAACCTCTTGTTTTTCACTTCCATCCTGTCATGTCTTGGGTCTGTATATCTTGCCATTGTTCTTTTTGTCATCCTCAAAGATGTGTGTCTTGTGTGCATGGCTACTTACATCATCAATGGTATTTTATTGTTTTTGAACTACCAACAATACATGTATGCTACATCCTCATAGGGAAATTATTCACATTCATTTAGCAGAATATATTGATAATGAAATAAACTCTCATGTATGTAAGATCAGGTTACCTCCTGGGGGGGGGGGGGTACTCCCATATGGACTATACAGGGATGATCCGCTGAACAGGGTATGGTTTTT